CCCCAAAACCCCAAAACCCCAAAACCCCAAAACCCCTCTAATTTTTAAATCCCTTGAAATTTAAATAATAATTTAAATTTGAACAAAGAAATGTTGGAGGATTACCTTCTAAACAATAAGATAATCAGATCTTATTCGAAGCTGTTCAATGAGAAGGACCTTAATAGAGTGTTGAGGTGTACTCTCATCCTTGGTATTCAGACACTCAAACAAGAAGTTCCGAACTATACCAGCCTCACACCTCAAGAAATAGAGGGGCTGATCATTGACAGTATCAGAGAAGATTATTCCGCGCATGCTAACTTTGAAAGGTAAGATCATTTTTGCATCATATTCTTTGACCAAAGTGCTTGAATCTGTGCTAAACAGCAACCTTAGCAGCTTGCTTATTCTAGTGTAAGCGATAGCCTTAGATCTGTTCATCAAATTACTTATACAATAATTATAGCAGAATCAGAAAAGTAGAAGTCATCGATAATGACCCTTCTCCAGAGGATACTTTGGCTAGAAAAGAGGAATCTCCAGGAGCTGCCCACACTAAGAAAATCCTCAAGACTACCAAGGAAGTTGCTAGTCACAGCAGGATTCCAAAGATCCGCCAAAGGACTAAAATTGAGCAAGTAGAGAAGAAATCTCCCCAAAAGAGCAAGAGTCAATCCCAGAAGAGAATAACTTTTGAAGAGCCATCTGCCATTGGACCACAGACTGAAGGAAGAAGAGGAGCCAGGATTTCTGCATATTCAAGAGATTTCCCCATCAGAAACTTAGATAGACCTGCTGGAATTCCTAGTGTAAGGAACAGGTTCGACCAGGATTGGATGAGACTTCACAACACTAGTAGACCTAGCAGTGTTCCAACCAGAATCAACAGGTTCAGCTCTAAAGCTCCTACCAATTGGAATCTTGATAACTCAACCTTCGAGAAGGACAGGCCAAGAATTAAGAGAAGTGGCAGTAGAAAGTCCACTAAGTCCAACACAGCTGCTAACTACCCAGACTGGTGGGGAGATGGATCTGCTTACAACTCAAAATCCTCTGCAAGCAGCAGGAGTAGAAGCAGAAATAAATACAAAGAAAATGACATTGATGATTTTGATAGAAAAGTAACCTACCAGGCTAAGAAAAAGCCTATTCTCAAGCAGACCCAGTCTCATACGACTAGAAACAACTACATAGCTGCACACTCAATTCAGAATCACTACCAGGACCCTATCTCTCCAGAACCTGAGGACCAATATGACGAAACTGAGGAAGTTGAAGAATTCGAGGACACTTACGAAGAAGAGCCACCTAGGAGAAGAGCACAACACATCCAAAAGAAAAGAAGCGATAAGCCCCAAGTTGGAGAGACTATCAAGAAAGGTACCATTTACTCTAAGCTAAACAAAGAGTCTGAGTCTATTGGCAGAGATGAAGAGCCTACCAACTGTAGAAGGACTAAGGGCGGCTACTTCCTCTCCTTCTCTCCTACAGGGAACAAAAAGAAGAAGACTCATAAAGAAAATGTCAATACTGCAAACTACCAATATGAAGATACTCGTGCCAAAAAGAAGTCGTACGTCAGGAGATGTGAAAACTTCGAAAAGCCTCAACCAAAGCCACGTAAGGGGAAGACCTTGAAGGAGCTTCACAAAAATGATAGGCAGAGAGCCATACACAATAGAGAAACCTTTAAGAATACTAGAGAGATTAATAACCCAGCCAACAAAGAAAAAGATATGAAGAAAACTATCCCTAAGAAATTCCAAAACGTAGAAAGCGTCATCAAAAAGAGAATTCAGATAGATAAGGAAATCTACTCCAAGAAAAAGATGGACAACCAAAACCCTAAGAAAGAGCCTGAAGTCTATGCTCCAAGAGAAAAAGGAGAAAGAAAGAGGAGGCATAAGAGAAAAGTTACGGAATCCGCTTCCAAGTCAAGGTCAAAATCTCGTTCTGATTCTCAGAACCGTGCAGAGAACTTTGAAAGTAGAACCAATCATTACCAAAGCTACCAGAACGATTCTCAAGAGGGTGAGAATCCTTCTCAATATCAAGATGGGTCTTCTCAATATCAAGATGGGTCTTCTCATCATCCATATTACAACCAAAGACATACGAGTGAGAGGAACCAGAAACAAGTAGTGACAGAGGGTTCAAGCTACCCTAGTGTGACTCAAGCTGCTGCACCACAAGAGATCTATGACAGAGGTCAGAATTATCAGAACCCTTCTTCCTACAGAGCTCATGAAGAAGTAAAGCATGAGCAGCAATACCAAGAATATAGCTACAGACCTTCGTCTATAAGCCAGAACCCTGATAGAGAGAATAATGTTGTTGAAATAACAGAAGGATTCCTAAACTCTCCAATGATGACCCAGTTCTCTGAACACTCTGATATGCAAAGAAGGCCTAATCCTTATTCTAGAGATCAAGAAGAGAGCAAGAGACATGATGATAGTCGGAAACAAGAAGATAGCAGAAGACATGAGCACCAAGATTACTCTGGAGTGAAGGACTCTGCTAGCTATGGCCAATATACTCAGAGCAGGTCAAATGATTCTATGCACATTCATCATCAATGATATGACAATCCATATACTTACAACCAGCAAAGTAATAATAAGAACCAGACTTCTGGAGTTGGATCAAATAGCAACCCCAACCAGTCCAGATACCACGAAGATCAAGTTCTCTTCAAGAGCAATGGATTTGATGGAAATGCAACCTCAAGTGGGAAAGTTGATGAAAGCGCTATGCTCCAATCCCCAGTTATAAACCAAAAGAACCGCGAGGAAAACTCTGACTCTAAATTAACAGGAACCGCCAATTTTGAAAAGCCAAAAGACTATGATGTAAAGTACTCTGACTTCAGACATACTGATGCTAGGGAAGGAAGCTTTCCTCGACCTCCTTATGACCAGAATAGTGCTGAAAGAGAGCAAAGTCACTATAATCCTTTCACTCAGAACCAAGACTATGTCAACAAAGGGCCTGTTTATAACTCTGGATATGGACCATTTGATTACCAGAAAGAGCACCAAATGTCCAGCCATAATCCTGGATCATACAAATATTTGCCAGCATGGGAAGGAGCTGATCCAAAGCTCAACTCTCAACACATGAGCATGAATACTGGCTACAATCAGGGCCCACCAAAGTTCTTGGAGCCACAAGAAGAATCTAAATACCAAAGTGCAGTCAGCAGCTATTATGAAGAAGAGGAAGAAGAGTCAGATTATACTGAAGGTGAAGAATCAGAGTCAGAATATGACTCTGAATTCAGCAAAACTGACGATTACAGATCTAACTCTTCAGCTGATAAGTATAGAGGCCCTCATTCTCAGTACCAGCCTGGCCAATATCCTCCAAGGGATAGCGGTGCTTATCCTCAAGACTATAGAAGTTCTGAGGGAGGAAATTTTTATCAGGGTTCTTACCAAAACTCCAATATGTACAATTCAATCCCTAATAGCAGTGAGATGAATCCTCAATACATGAGCTCCATCGGCTCTGAAGCTCAAGGAATTCCTCCTCAGTTCCAAGGGAATCCAGAGAGAGGCCATCCTGGCCAACACAGGCGTTACTAGATAGCCTCCAAAATTCAAATAAATATTTCAATTATGTAAGATCTTCCCGGGGTTTTGGGGTTTTGGGGTTTTGGGGTTTTGGGG